CGGACATGCATATAACACATACATCTTCTTTTGTGTCCGTCGCTTCTACTAGCTTAAGGACTCCACCAAAGAGGCCTGAGGTTGAAGAGAATTCTCGAGCTTATTTCGAATTTCAGATACAAAGTTATCCAAAATCTCGGGTTCTAAGTCACCCGCTTCATCATTCACCCTCAATAAATTAGTGAAAGTCAATTCTTCTTGTGACCCATTAGGATTAGCACGAAGCGCCTCGGCTGCACCAAACATGTAGGCTGTTGTGATCTTACCTAGGCTAGGTATCACCGGGTCTACTTGCTCGAGTTCTTCATCCATAAGGGAGATGGCATCTTCTAAGTTTGTCGGCATGTTTTGGGCAGTAGAAACCATGAAACATCTTCTTTCCTTCATTCCAACTCTTAATCTAACGATGAGTTTTATAAGTAGGTGGTGAGTATTTTCGCGGGGTGGGTAGCAGGTGAGAGTGAGTTTTAGTCTTACATCAGTCCAAGCCAATGTGCTTTGGTTGGGCAGAAGAGTTAAGAAAGAGGAAGACAGGGCTACTTCAATGAACAAGACAGAAACAACTCGAGATGGGAGATAGAAATAGAGAAAAAGACAGAAACAACTAGAGATGGGAGATGAAATAGCGAAACAGAGAGAGATGAGAGCCAAAGTACGAATAAAGTTGATCCAGTTAAGGCTGAAACTTCGGAGAGAGAATTGAATAAAGTTGAGAAGAGAAAACAAGGGAGAGGAACGTGATTTTGAAACAGGAGAGAGAGAATTAAATAAAGTTGAAATAATGAGAGAGGTTTCTAATGCGTTGTTAAAGAGGAAGAGAGAAAAATAAGGAGAGATGGGATTGATAAGATAGAAGAAACAAAGAAAGACAAGGATTGTCTTAAACTTGAAAAAGGAAGAAAATAATAAGAGGAGGGGGAGCACCTGCGTGTTATATCGATAAAAGAGAGGGAGGAGTTTCCTTTTCTTCTTTACGGACAGGTAGATTTGGTTTGGTTGATGAGATAAGAGAGAGAGGGTTCCTTCTTTTCTTAATTTGTTTTACAGGACAAGATAAACATAAATTTGGTTTAGTTGATGAGATAAGAGAGAGAGGGTTCCTTTCTTTCTTGGTTTGATTTACATGATAAAGACAAGATAAACATAAATTAGCGTTTGAAGAGAGAGGGAGATAATTCCTTGTTCTTGAGAGAGAGAAAGAGGTGTCTCCACTTTTGATGGAGAGAGAGAGATTTTCTTCTCTCTTTATTGGCCAGATCGAGAGCTGCGGGGGATTTGTAATGTTAAAGAGGTAATAAGTGTAATGTTAAAGAGGTAATAAGATAGACTATATTACAGCGTTTTGGAGAGAGAGTATCATTTTAAAGGAGAGATAAAGAAATAGATCAAGATAGGGATTTGGGACACGTAGGAAAACTAATTTAAGATTGAACTATTGCTAAATCAAGATTTATACAAGTCCTAATTACTTTCGAAAAGTTGATTTCTAATGGGCGACGCCGTTCTCGATATTGGATTTTTTTTATGTTTTAAAAATGGAAAATGGTTTCATAGAGCTGTAGCCCTATCAAAATAAATAAACCCTCACCTCATAATGCACAAAAAATTCCAATTCAAGCATTGGAAAACTTTACATGGATCATCACGACTTGAACGTATTAGTTGTCAAAAAAATTATGATTTTCAACTCCAAAAATATGTATATTGTAAGAACTTATCTAGACCGTCCATTTCACCCTAAAATTGAGTATTTATAGATCCGCATGATTAGTACCATTTCTTGAGTTTCAAATTTTATTATCGGTGATGAAAATTGATTTGGATACACCATGGAAATTTCCAATGCCAAAAGTGCTTTTAAAATGAGTATTTGAGGTGAGGCTTTATTTTGTTGTTATAAAACCTACGCCCTATAGAAACTTTATCCTTTAAATTTTGTTTATCGGGACTCGAAAAAGTTTCATAAGTTTTCTCACTAAAATAAACTCTAAGCTTTTTAATCTTTATTTTTAAAACCAATTATAACACTTTCTTAATTATTAAAATTTTTATTGTCTATTTTTTCAATTAAAAATAAGGCTAAGGAAATATGCCATCTTTATCCTATTAACTAAGGCTAACTTCTTAAATTTCTCTCAATTACCTTAATTTTTTTACCTTTGTAATATGATATTATTTTTAATTTTTCAATTACAAATTTTATTATATATTAAAAATAATTTTCATCAGTTTAAATTGTTTTTAATATGATCTTGTGCCTGTGCATTGCAAAGACCATGAATGTATTTTTTTTAATGTGTACTTCTTGTCTACCGCTTTCCCAAGGAGGATCGCCTTTCTATGGCTAGGCTTTAGATCATATTGTGCCTACAGTTGGCCTCGTGGGATCAAATTGAACATTTGGTCCGACGTGCAAGACGCCTAGTTAGAGGGGTTTTATGACAGAAATTTTCAAGTCATTTTACGTCACCTTATGACCAAATATATTGAAAAGACAAATTGTTTTGAGCTCTTAAAACCTAATATTGCTTTATATATTTATTTTTATTTTTATGGAAAAGTATACAAAGAGACCTTTAACTTTTAATGTAAAATGCATAATATATGATTAGTCCTTAAATTTGAAAATAAAAAAATTTATTCTTTTTTAATTTCCATTTTATCGTTTCCACACCAATAAAATTTTGCAATTATATGCTATAAGACCGTTTATCTTTATTACAAGGTATATCTAGCCATTAGACAGCTTAGGGTGTGACATAAAGTTCAAAAGAGTTTTATTTGAATTCTGAGTCTAGTCAAAGACATACAAGTACCTGATTTGAAATTTGACGGACAAAATTGTTTGTAATTGTACTAAGAGTTTTAAATTCTTTATCTAAAATCCATGTAGTAGATGTAAAAGAAGAAATGGAATAATAAATCTCAAATTTGGCGCATAAATTCTTGTGGACCCTACAAAGAAGCCTATTAAACAAAATTTGGAAAAGCCCCAGAAAATTCTTTTTCTTGAACTCATCGACCAAAGGCCTTCTAGTTCATGAGTTGTTGGATTAAAGCCTTCAAGAACTTATAATTCATTTTAATATTTTTATTTCTTAAAAACGAAGCAATCTACAGAATTTGAGATCAAAAGAAGTCCACACAATTCACCAAGCTAAAAATACTCTTGTTTTCTTTCCTAGAGTGGCGAGTTTGTATTTAAAATGTTTTCTCTCCTCTTAAAGTTTGGGAAACGTTCTATACTTCCCCGACAATGTAGAAGATCTGTGCTTCCCCTACCATCCAGCCGTCCAATTTTGATCAAGTGAGACACTCACCATTTGATCTTAGATCTGATGCCTCAGAGTATTTTATTTTTAATCTTTTTATAAAAATTGTATGAATATGAAATTTGGTAGTGTCATCTTCTCATTGGCGTGCACCAACAAGAAAATTTTAATTTAATTTTTCGATAAAATATAATGACTAAAATACCCCTTGAAAATTTCAGGGTATTTTGTTTATTGTATTTTATTGCGAATATTTTTTTACAAGTGCTAGAATGATAGAGGATTAGACACCCAAAATTTGGTATCAAAATATTTTATAAAAAATTAAAAATAAAATAGTGTTGTGATTGGCTCAATCTTAGCCCTCCATTCAGAATGGATGGTTAGATAAGAAGAAGTATATAAGTTCATGTTGTAAGGGAAGCATAGAAAGCTTGCCCCTTAAATATTTAAATTTTTTTCTCTTTTAGTTTTCTTAGAGGAGCACAATATACTTATCTCTCATGCAGAATGTTTTTTCTCATTATTTTGAAATATTGGGGTCCATTTTAAAATGTCATATGCTTATTTTAAATAAAATTTACTTTTTTAATGTGGGATTTTCTACAAAGAGCGATTTATCTTTTTCAGATGGAAGTCACAATCATTGTAATGTCTTGGACTGTTTCTATTCAATCTTGAGACTTTTTTTTTATATGCATGTTTATAGGGCGCAATTAGGAAAAAAAAGTTTAGTGAGGTTAATCTATATGTTAAAAAGGTTATATCCCCAAAATTTGAGGTCCTAAAATTTATCCAAGGTGGGGTTTTACCAGGAGTCCCAAACGACTAGAATATATTTGGCTTATGTTGGACTAATTTTCTTGTTGCTATCGATATTTTTAAAAGATAATGTGATACTTGATTTTTAGATTTTCTAAGTATATGTTTTTAGCCTAAATCCTCATACGAAAGTGATATTTTTAGTGAATTCTTAAATTTCTCTCAATTACCTTAGTTTTCTTTTTTAGTATAAATTTAATGAATGTGATGCTACTTTTTATATATAATATGATTTGTTGTGCCTTTGTGCATGAGTAATTCTTAATATTTCCATTTGGTCTGCCATGCAAACCTCATATCTTTTGGTGTGGTTTCCATAAGGTTTCAACCTTAAACAATCTAATTCAGACGTCAAATTTTATCATAACGTATAATTTTGTTGTAAAAATTTTTTAAGATGATGTTAAAATCGATTTTCATTTCTAATTAGAAAATTGTACACTCAAAAAATGTTTAAAATCAAGTAAACCTATAAACATATGAAAATCTTGCAAATGGACGATCTGGATAATGTGTTGCAAGATCCACTATTTCTGGGACTCAAAAACACTTCTTTTTTTTTTTTTTCATATGCATACGTCTCGATATCGAGATGATCAATTAGAGGGTGTTTCAACATTCAAACAACTTCCGATAGATTTATAAGATGAATTTATAATTCTACGCTTTAAGGTTGAAACTCAAAAGAAATTAGGATTTATAAATTGGATTTAGTATTGATCAAGATTTTTCAACAACTCCAAACTTTTCTGAAGTTCCGAAAGATTCCGTGATTCTCGGAAACAGATTGCATCCGCAGTTCCTTTTAATCTATGTGAAAGATTTAACTGATACAAACCAGCATATGAACAAAGCCAAAAATGAGAATGGCTCCCCGAACCCATAATTTTCAAAACAAGACACACATGATGAAGACTCATTTTAATTTCTCAATTGCTTTGAGTTTCCATCAACATTTAAAATGAGCTTCTGCAGTTGGGTACAAAGTTTAACAATTTCTGGGACAGATTCGTGATCTTGGGCAATCTGCATAATAAGTTTACATTGTTTGTCTTGTGAAGAAGGGATATGGGGTGGTACTGGAGGAGAGAGAAAATGATGCTTAAGCAGCTGTGGGATCCTCCACCTCTCACTGCGCTCCCACGTAAGGCACTTTTTCATGAGGTCAAGCAACCAAGGGTTTGACACAGGGCCATAAGAGATCTTATGGTTCCTGTCGGTTATTACCTTGAATTTGGCCCAAAAGGTCTTATAGTCTGCAAATGGAGTTTTCCCATAGACCATTTGATATAAAATACAGCCCAGGGACCATATATCAGATGCACGCCCACATTTGATGGTGTTTCCTTTGGAGTCTTGTTCGTTGCACATGAAAGCCTCCGGGGACATGTAATTTAGGGTGCCCACCTATAATGTCAATGTCAAATGATCAAAGGCTTGAGTCCTTGGGTTTCGAAAGACTTCATATAATGAGAGAAAGAACAAAAGAAGCTCCAAACAAGAAGGCCGACAACATTTACTCCCAAGAATGCCATGCTAAAAGAGACGAAACGTGAGAGAGAAAGAGACACAGAAAACCTGTGAATCCCGCTGAATGTGAGTGGTATCGCTTTGTATTGCTTTGGCTATGCCAAAGTCGATCAACTTCAACGAACCCTTGACGAGAAGGAAATTTGCAGGTTTCAAGTCAGAGTGCACGATACGCTCCTCATGTATTGTGTTCACAGCCTTAAGAATTTGCTGCAAGAACAGTACCATTTGGTTTCATAAGGCCACAAGTCTGGTTTTAAGTTACACAACCAACAAAAAATAGACTCGATTTGCAAATTAAACAAAATGAAAAGCATATATATTATGTAACCATCCCCTCTATGTAAAAAGATATAAAACCTGATGTCTGTAGGTGGTAAATGATTTTTAGATGCCATAAACACCGAATTTGAGCAGACACTACCATTCCCCATCTTTTTAACGATAATTGATATTACATTTATTAAAGGAAGGGCTTTTTATGTGACCCCACCCACATATATGGTATATGTGACCCCTGGTCTCAGCCATCAGATCTGAGTGGATAGCTGAGATGGTTTGAGTCACAATGTCGCAAGCTAGCACTTAAGCATCAGATCTTGATCAAACGGCTCACGGTGTTTTATTTTTTATTTTTATATTTTATTCTACAAATAATTTTGAAGCCAAATTTGGGGCATGCATAGATCTAACAAGGGCGCAAATGATAAAATATTAAAAAAATATTTCCGATGATTAAAAATTACTAGAATACCCCTGAAAATTGTAGGGGCATTTTTGCCATTTATTTTTATATAAAATATTTGTTTTTTTTTACTTTTTCCAGGTTCACCCTAATTTTTTTATGGGATGCCCAAAATTTCATCAAAAAATGTTTTGTAGAAAAAAAATGAAAAATAAAATAGTGTTTGACTTGACATTATGATAGGAACAATCGTAGCCGTTCGATTTAGATCGAACTGCCAAGAAGTGGCGTCGCATATAACTTATATGTTGTTGGGGTCACAGAAACATTTTCCCTTATTAAAAGCTATAAAAATTCACCAGCCTATCATTAATTGATTCAATCCAGCACTTCTTTTAAGTTTTGAACAAGATTGTTCAGAAGACAGCTGGTTTACGCCAATTCAAACTAACTCAACCACTTGTCCATTCTTAATATCTTTGAGGTCCGAGGTCACAATCCCAGAACCAGTGTGTTCTCAATCAACCAGCCAAACTGACAGGCTTAACGGTTCAGTGGGCCACATAATCAAAGTCTAATAAGGATTGGATGAATACAACTCTACTGAACCTGTAATTTCAGTTTTAGTAACACTGATTTCGATCTACGGCTTTTGGGAAAAGCACTAGTTTGGCTCATCATTTATCAATTAACCCACCAACAAACCAAAACTTCGAAGAATAATCCAAAGAAGATATTTAACTGTCATCAAAGTGGACTGGTCGACCAAAAAACAATAATACAAAAACATGTAATATTTGGTGCCTGAAAATTTGAAAACCATGAAACTGTAATTTTTTAGTGCATTTGACTCTTGTGTGTGTGTGTGTACTGTAGATGTACATGTAACGGGAACCAGGCACAACAGAAAAATGTGCCAGCGGGATTGAGATTATACAAATTACAATGCTGCGAGATTTATGGAAAAAAAGAATAGGGGTGGCAAGAGGGGATAGATAAAGTGGAAGATAAAGCGGGAATTGAAGGGCAGGGGTTTCTGGCAAGCATCGGTTAGTGGGCAACACTACAAGGTTTTGCCTTGCAGCTCCTAGTTTTGCTAGTGAGTATGGTTCAAAATTTGCTTCTCCCCAGGGTGTTTGAAGGCCATCTATAGGGGGCTGATTGAATAATAGTTGGTCACAGTTGAGGTCTAGGCTCCAAGCTCAAGGGGGTTTTTTGCAGGCCTAATCAATGAAATTTTGGAAATCTCATTCCGCCAAGAGGTTGAGGCCCCAAACAGTATCAAAAAGTTTGGCCTTCCCATAAGGCCTTTGCTTCAGCCATCACTGAGGTAGCCACCTCGATCAAGCATGAGAAGGAGAGCAAGTTGTTTCCCAAGTGCTCTCTAAACAAACCTCCTATCCCAGCTAGGCCAGCGTTACCCAGGGAGCAATTCAAGGTTGAATTTGATGGTATCTAACCATGCAGGAATCTATATGTTCGATCTAGAGATAGACACGGGCATGTAGGACAAGTAATGCTTCCAATTCAGCAGGAAGCCCCAGTGCCCAGTCTGAAACTCTTTGATATTCCTGGCCCAACAGATAGTTAAAACCAAGACATGATCCTCCATGCACTCTTACTCTTACTGATGGTTTGCCAAATAGTTGAAGGGACTGGAAGAGAATTGGAAGTGATATCGGGATCAGGAGCGGTGGGATAGTGAAAGACTAGAACATCCCCATGGTTGGGAGCAATGTCCATACTATTCATAGCTTAGGGATCACGATCCTAGCCTTTCGAGGATCCTAATCCAGATATTTTTAGATCTCAATTCCAAGCTTTCAAGGATCTTGCTTCGAATCTTAAAGAGTACATATAATCTAAAAGTATACATACTCGTTAAAGTAGGGATCTCTTTGTTCATAGACCCAAGCAATGTAGTTATATTAAAAGATAAAAGTATGGCTTCATTACTAGCTGGCCCGAAAAACATCATTTTGATCGTTATCTTAGTCTTCAAGGTCGAGAATGAGATCCCTAATAGTGGGGATCAAGATTCCTAACAGAGGAAATCGAGATCCCAAAATTAAAAAATCGAAATACTTTGAAGATGTTAGGGATCTCGAGTTTCCGAAATTAAAAAATCGAGATACTTTAAAGATCCCTTTCTTGAAACGTGGGAGCAAGATCCCAGCAACTGTTGTTTGCCCACAAAGATCCAGGAGCCTCGTTTGAGCCAGACCACCCATAGGATAGCCAGGCTGGAAGATCTCCAAAGGAGGAGACTTGAGGTTGGGAAGGGAGTTGAATAGTAGGCCTGGAACAGTTGCTCAATGTAGTATGGCCAAACCCAGTTCCAGCTGAAGCATTGAAGAGTGGCTGGGCAGATATGCTAAGTGACATTGTGGGAGCAGGTGGTCTGCTATCTCCTCAGCCTTTGAGCACATCAAGCATCTTTTAGGTACTTGCACACCCTTCCTTTGAAGTTGGTTCTCTGTGAGAATCTCAAGGGAGATAGGCAACCAGGTTGACGCCTGAATTTTGGGGGAGCAGACCTGAACCTGGCCGACTTGAGACCACTAAGGCAGTTGGTTGTTGACATTAGAGTGCAGCAGGAGGTCACATGGGAAACTCCCAAGTCAGTGATGAAGGAAAAATTGAGGGAACAATAAAATTAGCAAGAAACAAGTCAAACACAAGCAATTTTAGAGAAACCCTAAAGCTTTCTCCCACCAAGGGCTCAAGCCTTAGGCTTCTTTTACAAGACAGTCTTTTTTTTCTTAAAGAGAAATACATGAATGACTCTACAGCCCATCCATGCCTTTATTTATATCAGAGACTTATTATTTTGGACAATATATGTCCATACAATTAACTTTTGATCAAAAGGTTCTAACAATTAACTTAAATATAACTTGAAAACTACACTCCATAACTTTAATTAAAATATCTAAAAAGCCTCTAACTGATCCAACAATGAAATAAATAAAAAAAACTACAAAACCCATAGAATTCCTAAAAACTAACAAACCCTAGAAATAAACCCTAAAACTAAAATTTAAGTATACATCTCTTAAAATTGAATAGAAATTAAAAATAAATAATTTTACCCTCCATTCTCCTCTGGTTGGAAAAAACTCATCATGAAGTTTTGAAATGTGCTAAGATGAATTTAACATCAAAACTACATCTTCAACCTGCTTCTTTTTTATTGGCTCAAATACTATTTGTGGTAAAAATAATTCCTTAAGAAATGGATCCTAATATGTAGGTTGAGGAATCAGGGCTACAATTTGCAGATTCTAAATCGAGCATGCTTTCACCTCTTCAATATTGATGAGTGCTCCACCTCTTCAATACTAATGAGATCTTCAACAACCATGATTTGGATCAATCCTCTTGTTGCCTTCTCTCCATATTCTTCACCCTCTTCCAAAATATCTTCACCATCATCTTTATCCTTATCATAGATGGGATCTCCTGAAAAATCTTGTTGTTCATCTGAGTATATGTCGAAGATTGCTAGTGAATTCCAATCAACAAATTGTTGACATTCCATGCAATTTGTGTCAAAATAAAAAATATCATCCTTCAAATCGAAAACCCTAGAGTGATGTTCCCCACATCTAGGTCTTCTGTCACTATCTCATTACCCAACTCCAAACGCGGAGCACGAAAATGAAAAGACTTGTACTCGTGATCCTCTTGGGTGATGACTGTCTTGCCCATTATTGAGGCTCACGTACTGGTACGCCAACTGCTGTACTTGCCTTTCAAGTTCCTCAATTCTGTCATCTATGGGATCACATAGCGGATCTACGAAAATCCCCCTTCTACGACCCCTTCTCGCTACCATGGGTTCACTGAAATCACAAACCCTATCCAAATCATACAATGAGTACCAGTTCGCCAAATGCATTGGTTCGGAAGGAGCAACAAACCCATAAGCTCAACCAACTCCTCATCTTGGAGATTACGTTTAAAACTTGGGCTCCAAGCATGTTGGTCCGCAATGACCTAAAATGAGCGACTCATCATATTTTCTTGATTGCTGGTTATAGCATCGTTGTTGAAATGCCTGAGATTACGAATTCATTTTAGGAATTGGAACTGCAAAATCGCAGCTGGCTAGACAACGGGAATTGTGGGAAACGAAATTCCTACATTACAGAAATCAAGATTCGACCGAAATGGAATAGAAATCCCTACATATATGGGATTAAGATTCCGATCTCTTCAGAATCAAGTGTCTAACCTATTCGAAATATGCAATAGATATTCCTTCATATACATAATAGAGATTATGACATCTTTAAAATTGAGTTTATGACGCATTTGGAATCGAGATTCATATCAATTTGGAATCGGGTTTCAATCCACCGGGCCATCGACATTTGTAACTTTTTCAACCCCCTTAATGTCAAGATCCCTACATCAACGGCATCTCATGCCTCAACAACTTAGAACCTCATCAAGTAATGGAGATCAGAAGTCTCTAAGACTTGAAGAATGGTTTCTTAGATTTGAAGTCAATGTACAAACT